TTGTATCATTACGAACAAATATATTGATGTGTTCAAAGAAGCAATACAAAGATGATTTTATCTTTAAATTCTTATTGCAATTTCTTAAAATTTCTCTAGGGCAGATGGCTTTATGCTTTGTTAGCTTGTCTAGAGAAACCATTATTACCAGAGGCTCACTCTCTAATTCGACAACTGGCTAGACAATGCTCTGAAGTGAGGGTACTGGAGGTAAGCTGAACTAGTTGATCATTGAAGGGGTATACTAGAAGATCCTGATCATGCTAATAGCTTGAAGCCATCATTTCTCTGAAATATATACATTTTCCACTTGTTATTTTGATATTTCAGAACGGTAATCAAAACTTGAGAAAGGGGCAGTACCAGTTATACTAAATGTTCAAAATGTTGCTGTTATTGTTATATCTTTGATGAATTTAGCGAATATCTAAAAGAGATGGTTGTGTTTTCTAGAAATATATTTACTAGAGCTATTAATCAGACAGTTGCCAAAATCATTGCAATTTGTTGGAAATGTGTAACAGTTGTTGACATAAAGCAATTGCTTGAAATTTGGTGAAAGCACATTAATGTTTTTCTTCCTTCTAACACAGGAGAACAAGAATGATGAAAAAGTGTCTGCTCTAAACTTGCTAATTTGTTTGGTTGGAAGGTATGGCAAATTATTTTAATTAGTGTACTAAGTTGGCTATTTAAGGAAAATTAAATCAATCTCTTCACCTTTATCCTCAAGAGTCTGCACCATTACTTACATGAGCATTGTTTTGCAATAATAACTTGTAATTTTTACCCTTCTATATTCTGTTTCCAGAGACATAAAAGGCAGTAACCAATTGTTGGATTGTATTATATAATATTACAACATACACTGACTACAGCTATATACAGCCATATAATTTCTCTTTCTCTGATTTCACTTGTGCCTTTCTCATGTTTCCTCATCCAGTATTGTATAAAAAGAAGAGAGCTTAACATTGCATAATGAAATTCGATGATTGCAACTTCTTTTGTAAGGTCTCTCCATGCTGTCTTAAACTTCAATGCTACGTCTTGAGTCACATGCTCTGTGATTCCATGCAAAGATCAGTTCAGAGTATCCTGGACTGGAAGGCACCTGAAGAGTAGTTAAAATAGTATAATTCTCATATTACATTAGTATTCAACTAAATGGAAATCTAGACAAGCTATACAGTGAAGTACTGCCTTTCTTTGATACATTTGTTCAAGATTTGTCTGAAGATTTTATTAATATTTATAATCATGGATTTTTTTTCTCCCGCCTAACAGGTATTTTGACCAATATGACCTGGCTGACGAGGCATCCTGATAAACATCTGGAAACTATACATGTACGAGTTGTTAATCTTTCTCAGGCAGGCAGGCAGTACTTTCATGACTGAACTATGAAAAATGGATACACCACACGTTCCAATGTGACCTTAGTGAATATGGTGTCTTGTATACTTGGGGATTTTTTTTTTTTTTGAAAACAGACTGATTTTAGCAAGTGAAGATGTTAATAAAATATTTTCTTACAAATTATTGTCCATAACTCAGCTTGTTTGATCTACATATAAACTATGTGTGCCTCTTGGTATTTAAGGTACTACACAATGAATCAATGTGTCTATCTTATTAAAACCCAGCAGAACTGAAGAGACTAATCAAAAAGGCTATTTATGTTGAACAATACAGGTAATCCCCAAGTTACGAGCATTCACTTAAGACTAGTTCAAAGTTACGTGATCAGCGCCCCCTAGTGTTTACGAGCAAATCCCAAAATTACAACTTGCAGCACCACAGCAGTCGTTTGCCCTTACAAGTGACTGCAGAGGCTCTGCAATATTCACCCTATTCCACTCCCCACAACTGCTTCCCCCTCCCTTCCTGCTGGACTCACCTTACAAAATCTCTCCTCTCTGCCGCGGTTTCTTTCTCTTTGAGGGAGAAGAGAGTCAGTTTGGAAATACTTTTCACACTGACAATGGAAGTCCCTGGGTGCCATAATATTGCGCAAGTTCAAACAAATTCTCTGCAAAAGAGATCATGGTCTACGAAAGCTTTGATTCTCGGGGGAGGGGAAGTGTTTGCTTCGTTTGCATGCCTATGGGGTAAAGCGTGGAATCGGGAATCGGCCAGGCATAGGAACCAATGTCGTCCGTCGCCCAGGTGCGCTGTTCGCTCATATGCACCAGCCTTAGTTTGAGGGTAGGAACGAAGCCTTCAACTGAGTAGGGAGGCATTGCGGGGCCAGGTCCCTTGTACTCGCATCCAAGCCGGCAGCAGTGGCAACCATCTGAACAGCCATGATCCCCCTCTCCAGTAAGTCACCCACCCCACCCAGCCTAGATCTTGCCTGGCCAGCCGGCTGGCACAAATCCTCACCACTCTTATCATCCTCACTCATTGAGCGGCAGCGGCTTGAGTTTCTCTGCTCCGAGAGAAAAGAAAGGAGGCACGGAGCAGGATTGCTCTCAATAAGGCTGGCGCATGCAGTGCATCTGCATCTTCTTGAGAGCAATCTTGCTCTGCACCTCTGATTTCTTCCTTCGGGACGGAGCGGAGAAACTCAAGCTGCTGCCACTCAAAACACTTTTTGTCCAAACACAGACCTGAGAGAGATTGGAAGGTCCCTGTGCCTGCAGTGGGGCACTTCAGAAATGGAAAGGAACGCTCCATGTGACTGAAACTCCATGTGACTTAGGTCTCTGGATGAAAGGTGTTCTAATAGCAGGCTTGAGTTTCTCTGCTCCGTCTTGAGTGAAAGGAAATGGAGGCACAGAGCAGGGTTGCTCTCAATAAGGCCGGCTCACTCCGGAGGCTTGTTTTTGCAGGATTGCTCTCAATAAGAGTGAGGCGCGCTCACTCCGGAGGCTTGTTTTCGCAAGGAAGGGGCTTGAGAAATGGCTTTTTCCAGCAAAAACAAGCCTAGCCCTGATGCTGGCAGAGTGAGGCAGCAGCGGCCAGAGCAGACCCTTCCTCATCTCCCCTCACTTCCCCAAAGCCTCCACTAACCTTTCCAGCTCCGTTCTCCGCCACCGCGTGCAGGGCAACAAAAGAAACCTGTGGGACTACCGGTAAAAAAAAGTTCAGACCTTCCAACTTTGTGGGATCTTCTCCCCCCCCCCCCCGAGAAGTTGGAAGGTCAGATTGATCTTTTGTTGCCCTGCACACAGAGAATGGAGCTGGAAAGGAGGTTAGTGAAGGAATGTGGTTGCCCTGGGGTGTGGTAGGGGTTAGGATTTGGGATTGTGGATTGTGGAGTGTTTGTGTTCTGGTGGGGCTATTCAAAACGCAGGGATTCCCTGTGTTTTGAAGCACCCTGTGTGACTGCATGGAAAGGAATGCTCTGCTCAAGTGCCCCACTGGCAGCCACGCAGAGCTTCCAGTCTCTATCAGGTCTCCGTTGGGATAAAAAATGTTTCAGCACCTATGGAGCGCTTCCAAACGCAGGGACTGGATTTGTGTGCTGCCTACGTCCTGTGGATGGGGCTTTTCTTGTTTGTGCGAACCAGTTGCTGCCATGCCACAGCCCGGTACTGGTCTGCGGACCAGGGGTTGGGGACCCCTGTTTTAGATCCTATAAGATTACAATGCTTAAGGAACTAGGAGTGTCCCACCTGTTCTGCTCTGGTAGGATGAGTAAATGTCTTTCAGAAGAGACAGTCCTACAGATGACCTAGCCTTGTGCCATGTAAGACTTTAAAGGTAATAACACTTTGAACTGCACCCAGAAGGAAACTGGCAGCCAATGCAGATCACACAATACATGTTATATGAGTAAACCTAGATGCCCCCATCACCGCATGCACCATCACATTCTGGATCAGTTATAACAGTGGTTCTCAACCTGTGGGTCGGGACCCCATTTGGGGTCGATCGACCATTTCACGGGGGTCGCCAAGCAAGGCTGTCCGCCATTTTTTTATCTGCCATTTTTCCCCCTTTTCCGGCGGGTGCCTTACCTCTGCCGCTTGCCAGCTACGCCTCGGCCGGCGCAGGGGGCGGAACCACGCATGCGCGGCGCTCCCGGGCAGGGAAAGTCCTCGACTTACGACCGGTTGGGTAGTACTCGACTTACGACTGGTTTAGTCCTCGACTTACGACCGGTTTAGTCCTCGACTTACGACTGGTTGGGGTCGCGGCATTAAAAAGGTTGAGAACCACTGAGTTATAACTTCCAAGTCTTCAAGGGCAGTCCCATGTAGAGCATACTGCAGTAATCCAGGTGGTAACCAAGGCCTGAGTAATTGAGCAAATTTTTTTCCAGTCCAGGAAAGGATGCAATTGACACCCCCAAAATAATCTGTACAAAGGATCTCCTAGCCATGCCTGTCAGCTGCTCTTTGAGCAGGAATCTGCGAATTGCACACCAATTACGTATATATCATACACATACTGTATATTCTTTTCTACTGATCTTTACAAGCGACTGCATTAAACATTGCTTATGTCTAGCTGTAATGGTTATACCTTCCCAAACTATTGCTTGTTCAGAAACACTGCAATAACCTTTTTCATATGATTAGAAACAGATAAGAATGAACGATATTCCTCTGTTGTCAACATTTATGCTAGATTCTGATCATTAAATCAAATTCCTTAGCCAATCCAGATCAATGTTTATGCATCTGTTTCTGAGGGATGTATTCGGCTATGAGCAAAAGGTTACTTCTTGAATATAAGGTCTTGGATCATTCTACCTTCCTATACTTATTAGTCTCCATGTACTATCAGTTTCAGTTTGATGGACAAGATTTCTAAATAGAATTCGGGCATGCTCACTTCACTGTTTTTAATTCCAACATGTCAAAACCATTAATTCAAAGCCCTTATTTGAAGTCTCAACCTTATAAAGAAAATCAGAGTAAATCAAAATATAAAATCTAACAATGCGTAAGACTTAACTGTATTACATGAATAGCTAACAGACAACATCTTAAATATGTACACATTAATATATAATTTGGAGCAATAACTACCCAGTTCAACCCTAATTGTTACATTAACATTGTTTATGTAGTTTTGAAACTTTCAGCTAGATAAGCAAGTGCATCATTTTTAAAACTATGCAAGATCATCTTGAAGCAATTTTATTGTCTATGGAATATACCTAAACTATCTTTCTGGAACTGAAAAGCAGGAGTACTGTTCTCAGCTCTATGGCCATGACCCATTTCAACATTGCAAAACTGAAATTGTATAATAGGGTTAGCCAGATAGCAGAGCTTAGCATTTATTTAAGATATTCTATTCATCCTAACAAACGTTCATCTGCATGGGTCAAAATTGAAGACAATTAAAAATCTACCAGCAAATTATGAAAAATGGCAATTAATCGCCTCTGGGAAAAATGTATTTGACAAAGCGGACACTTAATACAATAAAGGATAGCTTCACATGGTTTATAAATAAAATACAGTTCATTTTGCCATTTTACAGAGCAAGACAATGGATTTTATATTTACGTCTTCTGTATCATCACTTGAAATTTACCTGCAAAAAAAAATATTAAGGAATATTTGTTTTATCAGAAACAACCTTATGTACTTCTAAAAATTCTACTAATCTTCAGGTTCAAGCATATCAAAATACATTTTACAATGCAATCTGTTCACTGCCTTGATGAGTAGAACCTATCTGGTGAGACTACAGTCTATTTCCTCCTCGATTACTTTCACATTCTGAAAATCCCATTTTTCCTTATCTTAATTTGAACATAATTCAATTTGAATTCATAATTCAATTAGAGAAACTATTCTAATTGAATTGTGGAAGATAGTAGAGAACTAACAGCTACTTCTGGTTCCTAGTGCTACAAATGTCCTGTATGTGGCTTTGTACCATGCAGAGAAAAAACATTCTCGGTGAGATTTAGGAAAGATTTATGAATTGAAGCAGATGTCCTGTTCAACTCAACAATTTTAGCTGGACATTACTGCCAATAACTACTGTCACCTTATTTCTTAGGCAGCTCACTAATTTTACATTAAGGTACAGTGTACTTTTCTGTTCTAGCACCATTTTAAAGCAACTGTTTTGTAATTTCACTTATTTTATCTTATATAGTACACAGAAGAGAGCAGATTTATCTCATTTTGCTAATACAAAACATACTTACATGCAGGCATTGTTGAAACTTCAGCTGTCACAATACTCTTTATTCCCAAATTTGATAAACCGCCTCTAATTAGTCCACATGTAAATGCCAAATACTGCAAGATATGTCAAGGCAGAATACTCACAGTAAAACTCTAATCTTAAAATAATTTATAAAACTCATTTTGAGAAATACAAACTTATTTTTATAGCCTAGAAAAAAAGAAGCTTGCACCAAATTTCAAACCATTAATGGTTCAATGAGGTAAAAGCTAGAGACACTTTTAATGTTATTTGCTTCTGTTTCAGACTTCATTTAAAATATTTTTTACTATTATTCCGATAGGACAATAAATTATAGCATAATAGGGCTAGCATAGTTTTTCCTCCCATAATAGTAAAAGGGATGGGATGGAGGGAATGTACGTAAAATGGAAAGATTTGGATCCTGATCCATGTCTGAAACACACACATTTTTTTTAGCTTTCTGCCCAAGTTCCAATGGAAGTTATATTATAAATGTCTTTGTAAGACATTTTCTAAGAATTAGAGGATGACAGGGTCAGAAAGCTATTGTTTAAGCCAGTGTTCAACTTTTTTTCACTCATGGCCCTCTTCCAATTTTTCTTCCTATGTCCCCCACCCCTTCCCAGTCCCACTACCAGAAACATACATGGTAGAGTAATTGGTGCATTTTCTGGCATCAACAAGACGCAGTATAATACATTTCAGTAGCCCCCTCAACACATGCCATGACCCCCATTACATGTTTTTCACCTGTAGCCACCTGGAAGTATCCTAGGTCCCCAGCTGATAATCAATGATTTAGATCAGTGGTTCTCAACCTGTGGGTCGGGACCCCATTTGGGGTCGATCGACCATTTCACGGGGGTCGCCAAGCAAGGCTGTCTGCCATTTTTTTTGTCCGCCATTTTTCCCCCCCTTTTCCGGCGGGTGCCTTACCTCCCTTGAGCTGGGCCAGCTGGTGGTCGGCCTGCTCCGTCTCTGCCGCTTGCCAGCTACGCCTCGGCCGGCGCAGGGGGTGGAACCACGCATGTGCGGCGCTCCCGGGCAGGGAAAGTCCTCGACTTACGACCGGTTGGGTAGTCCTCGACTTACGACCGGTTTAGTCCTCGACTTACGACCGGTTTAGTCCTCGACTTACAACCGGTTGGGGTCACGGCATTAAAACGTTGAGAACCACTGATTTAGATCATCAAATCCAATCCCCTATTTTGTACATGAATTCAATTTAAAGCATTCCTGACAAATGGCTATTTACCCTTTACTTGAGCGCATCCAATGAACACAAGCACACTATATCTTTGGGTAATGGATTTCACTGTCAGGCTATTTGTACTGTTTTAAAATGTTTTTTTTTATAAAATTTAACCAAACTCAGTTTTATGTAACTTAAGTCCTTTAGTTTATGCCCTCCATTCTGCGACAAATAAGAACTGCCTTCATTTTCTATGTAACAACCTTTCAGGTACTTAAAAATGTGATCACAATTCCCCATCATCTTTTTTTCAGAGTTAAACAATATGTATCTTTATATATCTTGATTTGTAATCTCCTAATTATCAGTTTCCTTCCAATTTCTCTAAAAATTGGACTCTGACTGATGTGGAATGGTGATATGTGGGTTATTCCCTCCAATTTGGAAATTACAGTTCTGTTGATACAATGTAAAATTACATTGGGGTTTTTTTTTGCAGCCATATCAGACTTCTACCTCATGTTCACTTTGCAATCAACTACTATAGGCAGAAGGCTGCATATTTAGCTAGCTTAAATGTATATTATATAATGCTATTGTCCACCTTAAAGGTTATCAGAATAGGGAAAACAATAGCCAGGCTGTTCAGGAGTTTGGAATCAGCATATTAATTATATATGTTGAAAGGATCCCATACTGCAGTGATGGCGAACCTTTTAGAGACCGAGTGCCCAAAAACTGGCCCCACCTCTGCTCCACCCCCCCTGCTCTGCCCCCACTCTATCCTCTCATCCTCTGCCCTGCCTGCCCACAGGACCACTCACCGCCTCCAGGGCCCGCCGCAGATCGCCCAGGCAGCCCAGCAGCACTATGGCGGTCACACTCTCTGCCCGCGCCCTGCAGCATCAACTGCATGATGGGGTGTGAGGGCAGAGTCTTGTCTACACTGCCTGGCTGCCATGTCCTTGGCTGCGTTGCTCCATGTGGGCCACGCTCGAGGGTGACTCTCCTTTAGGGGGGCTGCTAGAGAGGAGGGGGTCGTGGGGGGAGGCAAGGCTTGGGCAACGGCACGTGTGCTGACAGAGAGGGCTCCAAGTGCCGCCTCTGGCACTCGTGCCATAGGTTCGCCACCACCGCCATACTGCAAAGACCATTTGGCTCTTTTTCCAATAACAAAATAAGATTTTCTAACA